GAAAGTTTAAGAACGCAAATAGCAAAATCAGTGCGATTAACATAAAATGTGGAAAGAGGAAGTAGAGGAGAAGAGGAAAAAGAAAACAAAGATTTCTTGCGTATCGCACCCTCATTCTGTGGATAAATTGTCAAATCACGTGAAAAAGCAAGGAAGGAATTATTTGTACTAGTTAAAGAACAAAAGATATACAGCAAAAAACATGACGTGTACGTGAGAGGAAATATCTTGAGGACGTAACGCGTAACCGAATTTGAATTTGAAAAGAATGAATAAAATTTATACGCAAATCGAATAAAAATTATCTGACGTTTACCTCATAATGAACCGACAGCACATCGCCATTTTTCGACTTAGTCTTGCAGTTATCAGGCCGTTTCTTAACGCCGATCTGCAACTTTTTCGGGGAACGCTTTTCTTCGGAAGCACAGAATCCCAACAGTGAAACCAACAATAATGCAAAAAGACCTCCAGCGTAAATCCCCATGACGACAGTCAAAAAAAATCTACAAAACAAAAATAAACAGAAGTACAGAAACAACGTAAACGTCTAAATGATTGCCGCTGAGTCTACGGTTTATGATGACTCACGGACAGCGTTAGAAGAGCGATGACAATGTGGGGCTAAATTAAGAATGTTTTACTAATCTAACGGAATCACCAGTAAATTACATGTCCTGCGTGAAATTATATAATATAACTTCTTGAACGGTACAAAATAACGAAAAAATAAAAAAGTTATAATGTAAAAAGAATAAAGTAATACTAAAATTCGACGATTCAGTATTTCAACAGAACGTTGGTATTCATACCACCCCCAAACAACATGGGAAATCGAAGTATGACCACTACCGATATTTCGGCCGGTTTCTCACGGCCCGTCTTCATGACAAGAAGTTACTTGAGTTTCGCGTCCAACTTGTTGTTTGGAGCCAGAAGACCAATCGAGCGATTGAACATATTGCTTGCTTTATTTATAAATAAAACTCATTTCATACCATTTTCAGCAGAACTAGTATTGCAGTAAAATTAGAGAAAACTATCAAATAAGTTGTCGAAGGTACCCAATTGCTATAAAATTCAGCAGCGTATTACTCGCAGGAGTATGAAAAAACAGCATCGTGTAGTTTATTATCAAAATAGCATCACACTGCTAAGTCCAAAATATCACTTTTACAAGCTTTTTAAATCCTGATAAGTACAACAAAACAGAGACATTACTAAAACACGAGTCACTTCAAGCACTATCTAAACCGTAAGCTAGCCCCTTTTTGAGTTACTGTACATTTTATGTAGATGCTCAAGTGTTACTTCTACAGAGTGATCGTGCAACAAATACTGAAAACCCGGCTTTTCTGCGGATTTAAACGGTGCGGTGAAGTATTTCCTTGTTTCTGGTAGTGTAAGAGGCCGCTAAACAGTTCATAGCTTCATGGCGTTTTGGCACATGCAGTTGATGAATGTAAAAAATAAATCAGTGCGCTTTTCCCAACAATACCTGAGGACGATTCGACTGCGCCACGTAAATCTTATGAAATGACAAGATGTTGTATTTCTTTTCGGTGGTGTCGAAGACTGGAAATCTGCTATTAGACCCACAACACCGGTGTTCATTTTATTGCAATGAAAATATGGTTCTTTTCTTTCGTATATGCTGCATGTTCTGGTCATGGCCATTTAACAAAAAATAAGTTTTTTTAATATGGAGCATGTAGCATTCTGATTCATATAGGCTTTTCCGTTGAATAGTTATATCGAAATAAGATCTTATGCTGCGAAGCGTGTCACTGAATTAATGATAGTAGATTAACCCTCATGGTCTGATGGTAAACTGCTAACTAGAAGGAAACCTGACTGTCAAGCAGTCCTGGACAATGTCATGACAGACTTACGATGGTGTGGCAATACAATTGCTGGGAAAGTTGGTCTATAAAATACCGAAACCCTTAAATGTGGTTAGATGAAATATCGAGTACACACATCCAAAGTACCAACCCAAAGAACTGTAGATGATTTAAGATCCGGTTGAGAGTTTCCCTTTGGCAGTAAGTCGACAAAAAATCAACGCCAAATATGATTGGTTCACTCACCTCGAGAAAAAAATGAGGATACCTATCGCAGTGATAGACTTGTGTAAGAAATTAACATAGAACAGGTTGTTGAACGACTGCAATCAGAAATCGAATGATCGCCATGATATAAAGATGAAGCCAAAGCATACGAATGGCCATTTCTGAAGTACGAATCATCAGTGAAAAACGAGGTTTTACCGAAATTCTCAAGATAGAATTTTACAAGGAATACATACAAGACAGAACATCGAGAAGCGATAATTCGAAGAGTATCTGACCAGGCTGTAAATTCATTTATTGCGGTACGTCAGGTAGAAGAAATTGAATTTAGGTTGCAAAGCAAAAGCTGTCCCTTAAGTGGATTCCAACGCAAGACCTGCAATTGAACGCCGACCTTTATGCTTCTTCACCGTCGCCTGGTCAGCCTCAAGCTGAAAATTCGAAAATTTTTTGCTAGCATAGACCTTCAACTATACAAACATATGTCTGCCATACAGATGACGCTGAGAGTAAAGCCGGAAACACGGAATACAGGACATTACCATCGTGATCAAGCCAGGCATTGATTTGGTTAAAAATGGAATATTACCTGACAGAGGGCAGTCGCACATAACATGGTTCCAATCAATACTTTATTCTAGATTAAAGAAAACCATTTAGGTGCTAAGTGCCTTTCAACAGGAATCCTAAGCACTGGCTTTAGATTAAGGTAAACAAATATTTGTTTGTATAGCTCTCATTAAATCATTCGTTTTAGTTGGTTAGACGGAGTGCGCAAGCAGTTCCCATGACGGCACTCCGTTTATCAAAAACTTTTCTGCGCCATTACGTACGATGCCAAAACGAAATCAAAAGATATTTTCAAAAACATTTACATTTTGGAATTTTTAAAGTTAGAAACATGACTGCGAATTCAAAACGTTTCAAGGACAGTAACACTATTAAACAAAGACCTCAAGCATGGCTTACTATGTTCAAATTCGCCAGACCTGCACACTGAGCAAACACTAGAGAATGACAGAAACATTAACGAATGAAAATTGCTAGCAAATCCGATAAAAGTTTTGCAATCACTGGCTCAAAAGAAATGACGTAAAAATACGTCAAAATACAAGTTATGAAAACAATAACAATTATTTCTAATACACAATTTCATGTTTAGAATAGTGCCTTCTGGACAACTTCAAACAAAGCAGATCACCAACTTCGCTGATTTCTTCCAACGCCTAAAAATACAATTTACGCTCATACCTCGAAAGGCAGAAATTTCTAATTTGGTAACATATCAGAGACAGATCTGAATAGTAATATATGCTCTGAAATTTAAAGGACCAAAATTTTGCATTTATACTGTAACAGTAACATTACTGGGACATTACTCTACTGTTCACTGGCACTCATTCTCTAACGAAGTATAATCGAAGCAAACTACAAATGCTAAACTTCGAAATTTCAGAAAGCGTTATGTTCGTTCGATTCAAGTTACTAAGACATTCAAACATTTGTACATTTCAAAACAAATTTTAATCTTTCCAGAAGAGCACTATAAAGATATGGAGAAAACTGATGTGTAAAACAAGAATTAAATAACTTCATTTTAAGTACGAGGTAACGGTTATTAGATTGAAATCTTCAAGAAAAACGGAAAACAGTTTTTCATGACAAATCTGAAAAATCAGTGATATAAACGAAAATTTTCGATTTCTCTATCGTATGAGCCTACATGTTGTTTCTGTCATCCATCGTAAGGAAAGAGTATTATCATTTCCATTTTAGACTCTACGTTACTTCAGAAGACACGTGAAAGTTTACACATATGCGAGAGCGTACATTTCTTTTCTTTGAGAATGATCTTTCTGAGCATGATATCCTACTGATTCACTGTCCAAAACAAAAGAACGCAAAAAAACGTTTTACGTGAATATCGACTACGTGTGACGCAATCCAACGCCAGAGACTCCGAAATCATCAAGACAGAATAATCAGACTGAGCAGGTTCATCAGCAAGATAGGCAGGGCATTGCGAAGAAAGGTCCTGATTCGTCGCCACTGAGATTTGTACATTACGTTGTCGATTCATGGCGCAGAACAAGAGATAATCAAGTATGTGAAGGCGGTTTGCGTATGATACGCTTTTAATGCCAATAAATATCAAGCTTACAAATGAAACTGAGATGAACTGCAGTCCACCGGCTCATCCGGCCATGCAAACACAAATGAAGTTAAGATGGCGATGACCAAATCTAGCCTAGTGCGGATCTAAAGACTATATAGGCGAACTAACGTAGCATGAAAGGTGATAAGAAAAAAAGAGCATAAACAGACTATTACGACTCCCCTGGCTAACAGCAAACTTAAAGGCAAACTGCGACACAGCCTGCAGGATGCAGTTGATACTAATTACACTTAGACCAAAAATACTCATCACACGATGACTTTAATCCGTCAGAACATGAAGAGGTCATGGATTAATAATTCTGACCTTCAATTTTTCAATTCATAATTTTCGTTCAATTACAATCTATGCAGTAAGTGACAATGGATTAACTAACAGAATTTATTATGTGACCCACTACACTGGAAGATATTTTGCTTTGTTAATTCTTACTACAGCGAGCTGGTGCCCAGTTATTTCTTTCGTATTTCGGGTTGTCAATACAGAAACGATCGCTGTCGTTTTTGCATGCAATGAAAGCCGTGGTAAACTTTTCCTGAACATCAGGGATTCTGGTAAGTCAGTTACCCCAAAATGGGCATAAGTCCGCAAACTGTATGAATTGCATGGCATGGTCGAAAATTCTATTTATGATTGTTTGTTTGTCGACGAAACGCGTACGCAGATAAAGCAAATCAGGTTTCCCTAAGTATGGCCCAGTCGTGGACTGCGGCTGCGTTGCTTACGATCGAACTGCTGTTGTATTTGTTGCGCGTCATACCTTGTCAAGATCTTCCTTCGAGTGACTTGAGCTTAAGCAAAACCGAGCTCTTCCCAAAAGAATCGGCGTTGCAGGAAATCCAACGACAACGACACCGATGTTACGCTTCAGCAGTTCTCTGGAAAACATGCTGAAGCGCAGAGAAGTTAGAAAACTCAAACACGGTTAAAAACAAAGCGTCATGCAGGGCGCCACATTACGTGAACTTCGACGGCAAGTAGATCATGAGTGGAACCACTGGAGAATTCATCTCTCCACCAATAATGAATCCAAGTTGCTTTAAACGCGAGCGAAAGTAGCGGGTATTGCGAGACAACCGTAGAATGCGGTCAACGCCTGAAGCACGCAGAATGTAAAACCTGATCTTCAAATGTAGTGTTATTAAACGTCCTATTTATGAAACACGTCAACAGTGCTACAGAAGGAAAAAAGCCTAAGAATTTACTACATCATTTAACGTTTATGAACTGAAACGTGAACGCTCTTTCGCACAATTCAACGTGTTAAACAACTACACCAATATAAGCTTGTACAACTTAGCTGGCTTCTCCCCATGCAACTATTAATTAGAAGCGCGGGTAGAAACCACAATGACCATGATCGTATCAAAAATTATAAGCAGTTGCGCAGAAAAGCAGGACTTCTTGTAAAACTAATCGCGGAAAAATTTCCCACAATCATCGCTGCAATTATTAGACAGGGCACAATATTTCCATGTGGTATTCCCAGATTAAAATAAAGAATGGGGAGACACCTTTCACTGTTAGCACTGGTCCTCGCCAAGGCTGCGCTCTATCCCATCTTCTGCTTGTACGTGGATAAAATAGTCAAGTGCAGCTGAGGTGATGAGCGCATCGGTGTAGGACATGCGGAGACGAGAAGGTTGCTGATTGCAGACGACCTTGTTTTACTAGCATCTTCTGAAACTGATCTACAGTGCTCCCTAGAAAGGTTCGCAGCCGAGTGCGATAAACGCCTCCAAAATCTGAAACAAAAAGCCTAGTGCCTTCTCGTTGCTTCTTCTTCTTCCCGTAGCTCTCTTCATATTATCGGAGAGGCAGTGGAGCAAGTGGAGAAGTTAAAGTGCCTCGGAGTCGAATTTAGGCGTGATGGAAAATCTGAGGAAGAGACCGACCGGTGAAGTGGAGTAGCCAGCGGCCTTCTGCATGAATTAATTACTTCAAACCACTGTGACTAAAGCAGACATGAGTCTGAAGACTAAGCTCAACGTAATAAAGTCGACCCTAATCATCATACCTTCCTGCGGTCATAAGTCGTGCACCAAGACCGAAAAGCTTCGAACCCGAAATGGTCTTTCTTAAACGAGTCGAAGTCCTTACGCGTCTCGATATGGTCCGGAATACTGACATCCGGGCCTTGGCGAACAGCCTCTGCTACTTCAGATTGAGAAATAACAGCAGCGATGGTGTGAGCATCTGTTAAGGATGCCTCCAAAAAGAAAGGCTAAGGAACTGTTTCCTGCCCAACTGGTCTGTAGAAGGACCGGACCTGGGGACGGCCAAGATTAACCTGGTGCAAATATATAGGAGCCTGCTCCAGATTCCGACTGTCTTGTACCGAATATCGGACTCTGACACAGCATCGGGAACGCTGGAAGCACTGTCTGACGCGTCTGTCTCCGCGACCCGAGAAAAGAGGCGGCCATTGAAGATGAAAAAGATGAAAATACTATGTGAGTTAGTGTAGCAAAACAAAGAAACATACGAGCAAAAACATACAAGGCATTTACCTATCTGAAAGGGGTTCGGCTTTAAATTAAAAGAGGAAACGCGTGGAATGCGAACTGCAGTAAGTGGAGCTAGTGCAGACGTGTACTACTTCAAGAAAGAATAAAAAATTTTTGGCCTCCGATCATACCAGATAAGTATTCTTCAACGTCATTGCACGGGTGTGGTATCTCACACTTGGATACTGTGTGTTTTAAATAAGACATACGTAAATAGATAATTGCCTGGCTACAACATCGCGAATCACGTTGGGGGCAAATATACTGTCTCATCAAAAGATCATGAATCCAAGCTTCACTGATAACACAGCTCCTATAGAAAAATGTACTTTTACATACGACGAGACTGTAGGGAATTATTATTGTTTAAGAATTCCCGGACATGCTGTTTGCTTGTTTGTTTGTTCTTTTAACGATGAAAAAGAAGCAGTAACAATCGCCAAACGACATGAACAAAGATTCACTTAGGTTCCTTCATACAGCAAAATGGTTAGATCGACAAAGGGCGAAAGACTGAAGAACGTGGTGTTGCCAAAATTTCACAACGAACAGAATTCATCTAACGAAAAGAGGCTACAAGCTGGTCAAAAGATAAGGGTTACATCATGCGGAAACGTTGATAGTGTGATGTACGAAGATGAGAAACAATTTTGAGGTAAGGACACAAAATCCGTACGCCTGTAAAAAGAACCCAATGTAAATGGATTCATTAGACAGTACTCTTGATGTCAGCAAATCATATATGAAACGATACGGGCGTTTCGAAAAAAATTAAGATGCAGTCATCGTTGTGCTGGAATCGTAAACTACAAAGCTATACGAAGAAGGAGGACGCAAAGAAAACTTATTTTACTAGAATGCACCATAATCTCAGAAAAAGATAGCATAGTCAGCATTTTCTGAAGCGATAAACTTCTGACAATACCTTCAGATGTTCCGTCACGACCCATAATTGTATTCATAACTGAAATAATTTGCTGACATACAACAGGGGACATCGACGGAGCATAGCAAGCACTGTGACTGTTCAGTCGAAGATAGTCAATGATCTTCTGAAAAAAGATACATTACTGCAAGTGGCAGTGAACAAAAAAATACTTTGCGTCCAGCAATATATCCACCAACGGAAGCGAAACTTTTGGTGAAAGTACCCATCAAAATGTCCACATCGTTAGGGTCACAACCCCAATAATCGCACACACCACGCCCATGCTTACCGACTGCACCTATTTAAATCAGACAACATATTGTCATTAGACATTGGCATTGCAAATAAGAAATGCTTTCACAAATCATACAATATATACAGAAAAGGAAAAATGCTAATACCTATGCTATGAGCTTCGTCCAAATACAAATAAGACTTGTACTTTTTCTTCAGAGCAATAATTTCAGGCAGTTTCAAAATCGTTCCTTCCATACTGTATACTCCTTCGACGAAAATAATAATTTTGCTGTAAGGACGCTTAGTCCTCGACTGTCCATTGATGATAGCGTCTCTCAATTTTTTCTCCAAATCTTTCATATCTGAAGCATCAGTAGAAACAAACGGGAACAAGCACATTTTATAAATTTCAGTAAACTCCATAAAACTAAACGACTGGCTTTTCGTAGTCGTCCTCGACGTCCTGTAGTAAAGATACAGCATAGGATGGCGGAAAATATTAGCACAAGTCTAATTCGAATTTGGAAGGGAAAGCTAATCTGTCGTAATCAAGGAATAGAGAGGTCATTTTCCACAACGAAATATTTGCATTATGCCACTTTTTCTCAGCGGAAGTTCACATATTCTACACAAAATGGAAGATCAGGATGATGCTTGATGAATTTATCAAGTGTAGAGAAACTCACTTACTGCAACAGAGAGACGGCCTGCTTAAATGGCTATCCGAGACGCAACTTGCATTCACTGAAAGTGCTCAAATACCACGGAGCTGTGACCTGAAAAAATGGCCAACTCATACAGCTAGAAAAGAAACTAGGAGGAAGGCGACGGCGTAACACGTCGTGAAATCCGATGTAACATGATTGATGAAACGTATAAATATTACACCTACAGTCTGAACAAAACGAGGAATTTACAATTCTTGCGGTAAATGACCCAAGCTGTGTTGCAAATCGCAATGAATAAAAAACTACTTAAAGATATTGTCTAGATGCTTCCACGAAACACACGACCAAATAAGTTGAACGTTACGAATCCAACAGGAATCTGAGCACCCAGCGCTTCAGCCAAAATGGGAGCATCAAAATGCATTCATTCTGAAGAAATCTGCTGCTGAGTATTTAACGTAGAAACAAATGCTTATGGTAACTTATAAGCTAAGTCACTTAGTACGAGCAGAGCCTTTTAAAGGCGGTCCATGACGTTGAAGTGCAGACCACTGGGTGGTGTCAGGGCTTGGTCGTGGAGTCGCCGCAATGAATCTGCACAACTGCAAGGTGGTCCGCTGTACCAATTGCGGGATTCAGTCCATCAAGTTATATATCAATGTATAGCTTATAATGAAGTACGATGACGTTGTCAAACAAGTGAATTTCTAATCACATTTCCAATTTGACGACCGTGTGATATCAGTATCAGTATGTCAGCGAGCAGGCTGCGACCAGGAGTTTTAATTTGTCATTAACAGATGGTCATCTCTATCAATGACTCTTTCTATCAATGACTCTCTATCAATCACAATCTTTGACTCTGCACAAGAGTGAAAATCTCCATGCGAGAACAATGCGATGCTGTTGTCAAACTATCGACGAAGATGATTTTAATTTTGTTTTATGATTCCATCCTGGCAAGCTGCGCTGTAACAAATGGAGCACCATACGAAGATCCGGTGGCGGAAGCAACCGGAGAATCAAAATGGAAACATTGTCTTCGCTGGATACATGAGCGAAATTTGCAAACAACATCGCACGACGCTTTGAACAGATCCCGGTGATGACAACTGACGTTGAAACCGAGTGGCAGCTATTTAAAAGAGGCCTACTCGAGGCTGCCGTCGAATGCTGCGGATATAAACGGTTTGGCCTG